TGAGATCCTAGACCGGAATAATGCTCTGTACACTGTCAGAGCTTTTTACAAGGCAATCACGCAGCCCTAGCTCAATTCGATTTGGAACGATGCGTTCATGATCCTTCCACAATTAACAAGCAAGCTAAAATTGATGAATTTTTTATACGCATCACCATTATCCTAAAAATAACACAAACAAAAAGAAAAGAACTAAATTTTGATGCTCTCTAACATCGGGTGCTGTACATGTGCTGTACTTTATGTGTACCAAACAAAAAAAATTCGGAAGAATGTTCTCACGAAATTTGCTGATTAGACATTTAGGTGTTGTAGGCGTGTCATTTGACCGGTTTAGATCATTATAAATACCTTTGGCAAATTTGAAGTCAATAGTTTCGTTTTTGAGGCCAAGAATATGTTTCTAACACAACATTGCACCAACGGACAGATGGACAAGCTTAATTCAATTCAAAATATTATACTGCCCAGCAACATATATATATATATACTTTGTGAGTTTTGACAAAATGAATATATCTCTCATCCTTCGGTGATGGCTATAACAACCAATAGGTTACAAACCGTCAACTGAGATTCGATAGAAATGCATGTATAAATCTCAAGTAAAAAAAATCCACAAATAAAGAAGGAAAAAAACGCGAGCGTAATCATACAATTCCGTACGAGATTGGGGATAATTTAGCACAAATGCACTGAGTCGCTTTAATCGTGCCCCTTGTACACATAAAATTGTTGATGTTGTTATTGAAATTCTTACAATCGTATCAATTAATATTTGTGACATCAACTGCTCCTTAAGATGCGCGTGTCAAGTTTATAAATACGCTGAAGTATGAAAACGCAGATATTGACCAGACATTGATCAAAAATGCAAAGCAATTACTTTGCAGAGCGGCCTAAAGATCAGTGGTCGGAAAGCGGCCACGTAATGTCAAGTACATGCTTTCAGGCATTCGTAATACCTTAACGCTCATATAATATATGCCCTTGGGTGGTAGTAGATGGCATCCAAGTCTCACGCTTCTTGGCGTTCGTTTTCCTACCATGAGAACGATAACGATTCGATTTTTGGTTTTTGTTTCTATTTGCGTTTTTTTTCACTAAGGAATTTTCTATTTCTATAATAAGTTATTACAATATTTTCATTAAAATTCATTGAAAATAAACCAATAAAACCAAACACTATTTTCCATGTTTTCCATATAGAAATTTTGAAGAAAGAAATTATTGCAAAGAATTAAACACCTTTGTCTTCTCTTGCCGCATTCAATTTTGTGAACATTTTCAATTTTATTCCGTTTTTTTTTTTTTTTTTTTTTTTTAAAAAAAACGGCGGGAACACTTTTAAAATAAAGAATATTTTTTTTCTTTTTTTTTTAATTATATTTCATTAACACTTCAAAAAACAAAATTCCAATGGGATCTTTAATGAAAACGTTTTACAAAACAAAAGAAAAACTTGAAATCTGTGCCGTTGCGCTATTAAAATGAATCGCCGTAAGCCCGATAAGTCAAATGCATTTGTTCGCTAAAATTTGCAAACTTTTAAAGCATTCTGGAAGAGAAATGCCAAGACATGTTGCAATCAAAGCAAGCAATTTTTAATTGCAACACAAACGAAATATATGTTAACCCAATTAATATCGAAACTGTATTGCTGTGGTAAGCGATTTTCGTTTAATTTAAAGTAATAATAATGTAAAATGTGAATGCAAATTTACGCATATGTATGCTGAAAACTTTATCTTTCCATGGAATATATGCATTTATATATATATGTATATATTTATATATGAACAATATGATGATTCGATATATTGGAGAAATCAGAAAATTTCTATTGGGACAAATCGATGTATATTATATATTATTGCATACATGAGCTAAATGGCGTCAGATAATGGTCGTTCAACACAAGATCTTGTTACGTTTCTTTTAATTACTCTTGAAACCATTACTAAGCTTTCAATGTTATTTGCCTCTCCATCTTGCCGATAAAAAGTTGAACCTTTTCTCAAAAAGTGACAAGCTCTTATCACACAGACACTCTTCAATATCAGGCAATTCGGATAGGCATTATCGTAAAGTTAGATCGTAAGATAGAATCCTCCTTTATTTGACAGTTTGTTGTGGTCACAGTGTCTATTTTACGAGTCTATTATGCTTTTATTACGAATATATTTGATGTAAATGAAATCAGTTTAAAAACAAAGGTAAACACTGGTAGTGGGGCATGGTCTATGAACTTATCAAACTAAGATGATAAAAGGAAAGTACTCGAAAGAGTAGTCCGCGCTATGCGAAAAATGTTTAATAGAGTTCGTTCGTGGAGCAAAACATGTCAATGCACAATATTTGATCAACTTATGGCGGTTGGGTTGCACGCAAGGAAACAAGATGGACGGACAGACCAACAAACAGGCCAGCGTAGATCGAATTAAAAAAATTATTCTAAGCTGATCGGTCTAATAAAGATCCCTCTGGATATTGATTTTTGCGTATATCTACGCAAATTTAAGAAATCTTTGTAGCATAATTTGGGCGAGTAAGGTATCTTTCATACAAAATACGTCTTCTATTCTTTTCATTGTCAGCTTTTCATAATATGTATTCATTATTTTCCTCCTGTAAAGCACACACATACTTACTTTCTCATCTGAATAATAACAATAGTCCAATTTTTGGGTAATTATTTTTCGCTCCTTTTGAAAACACAAAGATGAAAGATGAAAGATTAAATAGAATTGAAATTTTTTAGATAGTCGGAGGAGAAAATGATAGAAAAAATTGTTTTGCGTGACTGCATTAGCTTACAAGCGACATCCTGCGCAGAGTCCAGATCGTAGTATTGATGATGACATTTATCGGTGTTCATAACGTCAAATTTGATGACGTGAAAAAACTGCGTCGCATGTGAATCAATGACAATAGTTCGGGACAGCATTAATTCGCCGCAGAAGATAATTGGGAAAATGATTACTGCGGCTAGCAATTCGGCTGTCGCGACCTCCTCAATTTTGAAAGTTTTTAACTAGATGACGATTGTCATCGTTTGGATTACTACCTTCATGGTAGCGGCAATAGAAAGTTCTGCTAAGTTTCCAGGTCACCTTGATCCATCGATTTTTGTAAAAATATTATATCCATCACTGTCCGTGTCGACTAAATTCTTGCAAATATATATGATCGTATGTGCTTAATACATTCGAAAAAGGCAGATATGATCTGCTTCGACCGTAAACGAACTATTATCTCAGATCACAATCTCTCTTAGATAGTATATGGATACGTTTTACAGATAGGAGAGGTTGTTTCTTTCGTTGGATATATGGAATGTGAGGGGAAGACGGAAATGAGAAGTACGTTTGGAAAAAGAGAGACACAAAATGGGAAAGTACCAATGAGAAGGAAGAAGAAAAAGTCAGCTTTGGCTTTATCGCACTCATAAGTCGAAGAAAAGCTAAAAACACTTTTGTTATCTCAAAAATTCTTCTTCTCTTATAGATGAACGTATTGCAAGTGCGACAAGAATGTATTTTTTCCAAAGTACAGGCAGCAAATTGTATGGCAATCTAAAATAGCAATATGAACACTATTAGAAATATAGATAGAAATGTTCCTTTGAACTCGTTTGCGTTTTAGTTTACCGCCTGTTTGAAAGTGACTCTATAGCTGCTCATTAATTTCTCCCCTTTTGCGGTCGACCGAGAAACAGGAGTTCATTTTCCGCGATTATTCTCAAAAGCGATCGAAGCCTGCTTCTAGAAATTGTGAAAAGCTTTTCTGCTATTAATGTAATATAATATAATATAATGTAATGTAATGGGCTCGTAATTTGTCTAATTGCATTTTAATCTCAAAAGCTGTCCGCATATAATATTAAGCATTACACTAATGACAAGCCAGACCACGCTAAATATCTCATAGTAAATATCTATAGTTGGATGCAGGAACATAATCGCTCTTTTTACTAAAAAAAAAATTGAAGGTTAAGGAGTCTCATAGCAGACGTAAAGAAAATTAAGATAATTAACGGAGCATTCTAAGGGACCTTACAAGAAGATTTTGAGTAGAAAATATAGATCAAGAACCTGACGAATTCTTCATATATAATTGAAACATATCCTGTTATAGTTCAAATAGGGTACAAACGGTTTCTTTGAGAATCAGTGCATCGAAAGGTATAAAAAAAAAAATACAGCTTCGATTATAGTTTTAATATTATCTCGCTATAGTACAATATCTCCGAAATATTTGCGTAGAACTGTTGCACGAAATTCGACCAACGATCGATTGCAATCTAAAGTTAGTTTGAATATCTTCTGAATGGTTTTCGCACATAATCTTAGAGAAGGGACGAATATATATAGAATTTTTATTAAGAGATGATGTAAGAGCTTATCAAAATCCGACATAACTACAGACGGCCCTTAAATTTATCGGATTGCACCATAGTCGCTAAAATTGCCAATGTGTTTGATAAAAGTATGGAGAATTTCCATTTCAGCTAAGAACACCGGTTGATTAGCCTCTGAACATGCTATAACATCTGATATACTCTCTTGGCTTTTTGATAATCTTTACTAATGTCAGGTTTTCGCAAAATCCTGCAAGACAATATTTTAAGATATTCGCTTCTTAACATTTTTGCTAGCTTCTAAGAGAATTAGTTAATTTATCTCACCTTGATATTTGCCCAAGAGAGATTTGCGCCCACATCATATAAGATTGATGCATTTCAATAACACTGTGACAAAACCTACTTTCTTGCCCACCCAACTCGGTGTACTTAAAACAAATGTATAATACATCGATTTAAACTTACAAAATCCATTCATTTTTTAAGAATTCATGATATAACAAAATGTATTTATAATTCAATAATATATAGTTTCCATCCTATTAACTAACATATTAGATAAGTTTTTATATATACAACAATTTTCATAATGTATAACTTTTTGTAACTTATCATACAAATGCTCTTATTTACTATATTTTTTTTTTTTTTTTTACTGACAGAATGATCATACTATAACAATATCAGGCTGAAAAATCTAAATTTTTTTTTTTATGTTCCTCGTAGAGTTCTTGCATTAAATCGCGAAAAAGTATCGGATTAATGTTCGCGCTCACTTTGAAGAGTATAAACCAATCGCCAAATGACATGTCCCGCAACGCGCAACGTACGTGCGATTTCGACATAAAGCGCACTTGAGCCCTTATTAGCTGCCAGCGAAATGGCATATGAAATATAAGCAGTCCGCGGTATATCAATATTAGACCAGCCAATAATGTCATTGCCATGAACCAGCACCAAAGAAAGGCAAAAATTTTTTCATTTAATATATTTAATGGCAAAATGCAGAGTATGTCAAGTGAGTTTGCGGAACCCGAATAACCGTACTTGAGCATATGACATTTAGCAATCTTCGGAAATACTCTAGATGTCATTGTATTCCATTCGGACCATTCATAACGTGGTATAGTCGCTAAAGCTTGTACATATTTCCACCAGAAGCCATTTAGAAATACGTCTAGTAGCACAATGTTTAAAATACTGATGGCAAAGTTAAGTATTTCACAAAATATATATCGAGCCATATAGCAAAAATGCAGATCCTTGTAGTCGGCGGTAAAATATTTAAGCAGCATTTTTCGTTTATTCATATAGGTTTCTTCCGGCAATAGTGCATCTCCTGCAAGAACAAAAAAGCTAAAATTATAAAAAAATATATAAAATTAAAGGCGACGGCACCTACAAGCATAATTCGTTATGTGAGTTTCACGTTGTCGTTTAATAGAAGAATGTCCCTGCATTTGTAATGACCGGAAGTAGGCCTTCGAGACCCTACTAAGTATAAATATTTTTAATCAGCGCGAGATTTTTTGACAATCTAGTTATGTTCATCCGTCCATCCGCTAATCTGTCCGTCTATTTACTTTTCCAATTTTTTTATCATTAAGGTAAAAAGTTATAACATGGCACCTGTGTTCTATCCTTGGTAGAAGTACAAAAAAATTAAGTTTGAAACACTCGCCTGCAAACAAAATTATAATACCTAAAGAGCTAAAATAGCCTCATAAATAAGAAATTTCAAAATATTCTTATGATGATAGATACCCAAGATTCATCTCAAGGCAAATAAAACTTTTTTATTTTTGCGTTATTTACTTACTTCGTACAAGTCGATAAAAAAAATTTTGTCTTCATTTGCATCTTGTATTTAGTTCGATTTTTGATTCGTTCGGTTAGTCTGCTTAATGTATTCCTTACATTTCATTCCCATTTATGACAACTTGGAACATTAGTGAAGCCTACGGACTTACCGACATCTGCACACAATTGCTTCAAGCGCTGACCCTCCCAAACTTTCCATAAAAAGGAAGGAAAGTAAAAGATCACCGATTGCATAAGCAGCATCATTATTACCCACTGATAATAACGCAAATAGACACGCTTCGTCTTGTTTGGTATTTCTGGGCCAACGCCTACAAAAACGACATATAATAAATGCGGAAATATCCTCATTAACTAAACTTCAATTTACCTTCCGCTATAGCAAAGGCCAGATCTCGCATTTTATAATCCGTACTATTAGATAATGTTGTTATCGTATTTTGTTGTTCATTTAGATCATAGTAATTTAGTATATAAGTGCCCATTGTCCAACAAAAAGAGTTGACATAATCGACGTGTTTCTCATCGCTGATGCATTGAATCGGATCGCCAAAGTACTGTTTCGCTGATAGCAAAAATGTGAAAGTCAACAGAATGACTACGGTACACTTGGAGTGCAATGTAAAGACCACATCGTAAATGCGAACAGACTTAAACTGTAAATACTTGGACAGAGGCTTTACAGCCGCATACATGCTCTCTTGTGGCGGGAAGAATATTTCCAAGACCCTCGTTACCTTATTCCAAATTATGTTGATTTCTTTTCTATAATATCGCCAGCGAAACGAAAAACTAACGGGTCTTACCGTCTTCTACTTAATTGTCGAGCAAAAAATTACAGACGCATGAAATTCCATGGAAATAACTTGACAGATGAAGTTTCGTTTTTCTAACGGTGTTTGTAAAATATATTAAAAACAATCGCTCCGGAAGATATGCTACACGCTAATGCATTTCATATCAAATCTTTTACATTCTTACATTACACAACATGCAAATACTGAACATACATTGGGAAAATTCCATCCATGAATAAATAATAATGCACTTTTTTTCTATTAAAAATCTTTAGTTTTCACCCCGCCGCTTCGAAATCCATTATTTAGAAATTCTGTTGTCCGTTATATCAAAGCAACTAAGCTTGACTTTTTTTTTAAATAATTCTGGATCATTCAGAAACATCTCTGTGTTTACCCTGAATATTTTATAAAACATGTGTTTCAAGACTAGTAAAAGATTTTTGACGGTTATAAGCAGCTTTTGCGTTTAACTTGTAGAGTTCATTCTGGAAAGAAGTTTTTTTGAAGAAGGTTATATCACGTGGAAACGTTTTCAAACTTTTGACAAAGTAAAAATGATTTTATTTGCAAAAGAATTTATCAAACATTTACAAGCAAAAAAGGCCAATATATATGATGTTATATTTTTCATACATTCTAAATGGACCGCAGTCATTTTGTGGATCTTTACATTATTGCTTTCTGCTAAGCAATATTTTGGCGATCCAATTGAATGTATGACAGACTCAAAATTTAAGAACTACATTCATTCTTACTGTTGGACGATGGGCACTTTTTTAATTCCAAGCTCGACGGACGATATGAGAAACGAAATAGCCGTAGGCGTTGGTCCACGGAGATTTGACAAGGAGAATGTAAATTTGCGCTATTATCAGTGGGTTGTCGTAGTTTTGCTCCTAGAAGGTTTATTGTTTTACATGCCAGCCTTTCTTTGGGAAATATGGGAAGATAAACGTTTGGAGCAACTATGCTCAGCAGTTGGTATGTTTGTGTAAAAGAGCTTAACATATAAAATATATAACTATATATAATGTTTATTTATTCATATATATATATTCGTTCGATCGTTTCGAATTTTAGTTGCACCATTGATAACAATCGATGAACATAAAAAACATAAAAATTTGATTAAAGCGTATCTTTCGAAAGACAACAGAAATACACATCAACAATACGCAATGAAATATTTCATATGTGAATTCCTTAATTTGATGATAAGTGTAAGTTGAAATTTTTGTGGCAGAGCCAGTAACCTTATCAACCCTTTTTTCAGCAGATTGGCAATATAATATTTCTACACTTCTTCCTGGATGGATTTTGGTCCAAGTATATGAAAGCGTTGTATACTATTTCTTTTAATAATTGGCACCTTTGGAATCAACATTCTTCACAAATATTTCCAAAAATGGCCAAATGCACTTTCTATACATATGGTCCAAGTGGCTCTATTAAAATCCATGACGCTCTTTGCATGTTACCTTTGAATGTACTCAACGAAAAGCTGTTTGCTTTCCTTTGGATTTGGTTTGTACTCATGTCAATCTTAGCAGCTCAAAAATTAATTTACCGTTTGGCGTTAATCGCTTTTCCTACTATGCGTGTACACTTAATTCGCATAAACGCACGTCACATGGCTGTCCAGGATATAAGACAAATACTGGCTAAGAAGTGTTATGGTGATTGGTTTTTATTATATAAATTAAGTCGTAATATTAATCCACATTTTTTCCAAGACTTGATGTCTGAACTTTTGTTAAAAGAAAAACGTGACGTAGTAATTGAATTTTCTTTTAATTAATTTTCTTGTATTAAAGTTTGAATTCTCGCCGTAATTTTTAACTTTTAATTTTTAACTTTGAATTTATAAAATAAATGAACAATGAACTCAATTTGAAAATTTATTTTTGCATCTCTTTTATGTCTCGCCCTAATTTTCTTTATAATAATTGCCATGTAAACATCGTCTAAATATATTTATTGGGTAGATTCGTCTAGTGGCTCTTAGTTCAAAAGAGTGGGACTGAAAATGGATACTTTTTTAGTTTTTTTTTTTTTTTTTTTTGAGTTCAAATGGACTAAGCGAATAAGAGATGTAGCTTATATGTCCACAACTGGCTAGAAATCGATATTTTAAATGTGGACGTACGAACAGACATTTTTAAATAAAAATTAAAATCGGATTGCGTGGAGATCCTTTTAAATTTCTCCAAGTTTGCGCGACACAGACGTATTTATTGTAAAACATATTTTACGCTAACTGCTTGATAGTAAACCAATTCCATTTTTTTTTCTTTTTTTTGTCTTAGATGCAAATTACACTCCCCGCGCTTCGTACGTTGAAAGTGGAAAGTAGGGAAGTTAAAATAAAATCAAATTTTTATATTAGTTTTGAAATGACAAATCTAGGTTCTTCGCGCTTCTTAACCTTTAGCTGTTTATATTTTATAGAAAAACTTTGAGCAGACAATGTTCTTAAACATTAGAAGGAGTAGAGAGTTTAAAAACCTTTTTTAAATTCGCATTTTATATAAGTGAAAAATTTAGCAAAGAGCCTTTATATATTAACACGGAATAAAGCCATTTTGTGAGTGTTTTCATTGTTCCCATGGCATATCAGTTAATGTCATAATAAGAAAAAATTAAAAGCTACCATAATTTCAACTGAGTCAACTGAGCTCTTTTTGCTATTTTAAGAAATATGCAAAATTTAGTTTTCTTTTTTTTATAACATCTCTGCTATTAATGGACGGTATCGTGCAAATTGTATTATAATATAAATGAAATCATTCATGAAATCTCACGGTTCCGAGTAAATTCCAGTTGTCCAATTTTTGAGACAGTCCCTGTTATAATGTTTTTATTTTTACAGACATGTTAATTTACCCATTACTCACTTTATTCGTTTGTATTGCAAATTTTCGTAATTATTAATAGTATTCAACACATCTTCGAAATGGAAAAAGTGTTTAATATTGGCAACAGTATGTGTTATTACCCACTGTTTCTGCTATAAAAAAAAAGAAAGAGTTGAACTAATTTTTATTTGTGTAAGTTCTCCTTCTGTCAATTTGTTCATTTGCAAAATGCAATTAATTGCTTAAAGAATAATAGTCGTGCAAAAAAAAAAATAATAATAAAAGGAAAAACAGTTATTTCGAAATCAATTGCGCTACTAAGCAGAAAAGAAAAAAAGGGCATTTGTGTAACGTGAGGGCGGAGAAGTGTGCAGAATTAAAAAGTGAATAATTTCATATGAATGTGCTTAATAAAAAAAAACGAATAAATCAGGAGGTTAATTAAATTTACTCATGTACTTAATATAGCCTTGTCTTTATTATTATTATTATTTTTTTTTTGCATTTCTAGTTCGATAAAAATATTTGTGAAAAGTAAAAAATTTTTAATAGTCGTGTGTGTGTGCAACATATCTGTGTATGTGATTGCATTTAGTCTGATAAATTAAAAAAAAAAGCAACCCCGCATCAGGAGTGACAATTTTGCGTACCATTTGCTTTGCTTCAAATTGCAGGAGTGATTTCCTGAAAATCAAAGACCAGAAATGACTTCAACCAGTTCCAATAGTTCTAACGCAGGTAGCTCTGATTCAAATAGAGATATTAATACTGCAGAAGGCGTGGCCAAAACGAATAAGAATCGAATTAGCATCTCCGCAACTGCATCCAGTGATGGTGATAGCAACAGTGATTCCACAGCGGCGGCTTTATTACATAATAACATTGAATTGGAATACAATAGAATAGCAAATGATCGAAATGGTTGGCAACGTTTATATCAGGTACAGGTGAAATCCTTGCATTTTCCACAATTCTATGGAAAGCATTTTATTTACATTTCAACTAAATGTATGCAACCAAGTACACAAATTCTTTTTAAATTTGCCTTAACTATAGTTTAATTACGAACACAGAAAATACTTGCCAAAATCCCCTTGGAATTGCGTGAATTCCGTGACCATGCAGGCAGACACATAAACTTTTATCAACACTTTCTAAGGTTATATTAAAATCTAAATGATATACTTTATTTGAAATATATATTCTTATATAGTCATTACCAGAAAAATTTCAAAATAAGACAGGATTTACGAAAGTAGAAATTTATTTACTTATGTACGTATATTCGAAACAAACCACACGTAGGGTGCTAATAGTAATTTAACTTTATACAGTTACGTACAGTTTAGTCAATATGAATATAACGGAACACATTTATAGGCCTTATTACAAAAACATAACTGATCGAGAGAAATTGGCGTTATTCCTATCTACAGAGACAAGAAAAATTGCTTTATTCTAATTTTGAAAGTTATCATTTTTCAATACTATCGTTTTGATATTAACATGAATGTGCCAATTGTCAAATTTGAATACATACATTATATGTAATCATATATTGGCGAATATCATGTAAATGAATTTACATGCATTTGAGAGTCCAGTGCAATATAACGACGGTAATAAATAAATAGCAACGGTTTTTCTCTTTCTCAGATTTTCTTATTCTATGTTATTATTGTTGTTCAGCATTGTTGATGAACAAAGTCACCTCGATAGCTAAATAGCATGAAGAGAATTAAAATAATTGTAAATTAAATGCACGCATTCAGTTGCCATAAAATTCATATCATTATGAATTTATATGGGCATGTGTTGCTGATGCTAACAAATAAATATACAGCTTGATCTAAAATTTATATACAAAAAAAAAAAAAAAAATCAAAATTTTTTTTAATTTAAAATGCGATTAGTTGTTTTTAAATATATATTTATTTTACTGCAGGAAATTCGTGAAAAATGTGAACGAGAAGCCAATGAGAAACACTTTGGAACCAGCGAATCAGAAAAACCTCATAATCGTTGTCTCAATCGATATCGCGATGTCAATCCTTACGATCATTCAAGAATCATTATACATCGCGGAAGCGTTGATTATATAAATGCAAATTTAGTCAAGGTTCAGAATCGCAGTTGAATGATTTAATTTTATTTTGTTAATAATATGCATTATACATTTTATATATTTTAGCTTGAACGTGCAGAACGGAAATACATATTGACACAAGGGCCATTGGGGGATACTGTGGGACATTTTTGGCTAATGATTTGGGAGCAAAACACAAAAGCTATTCTCATGCTTAACAAATTAATGGAGAAAAAACAAATCAAATGTCACATGTACTGGCCAGAACGCAAAGGGTCCGAATGTGCCCTCAAATTGGACGAGGTTAATTTGATGGTAGAGTTTTTGCGTTGCGAAAGATACAAAAACTTTTGTCGCCGATGGTTGAAGTAAGTCTTTGATGATTATTATTATTATTATTATTATTATTATTGCTTGAAATACTTGTTGTAATGTATTTTCTACTTGCTTGCTTGCATCAATACTGTGAATTTCATTTTCACACACTGACTGACACACACAATAATGTACAATCTTCGCTATTGTTGAAAAGAGAAAGAATGTGACATTCTCCGTAGGTAAAGCAATTATTTTCGAGGCCTTTTTATGTTTGGTCATTTTCATCAATCTGTTCATACTGCTTCCTTAGTACCACAATCACAGTGGGGTGCGTAACAAACTAATATGAATATTCAAATTATCGTCACGGTTAAAAATTGGCTTCGAGAGAGTTACATTTCTACAATCTTTTTTATAAAAAAATTTTGATCGACTCATAATTAATTTTGAATATTTATCATTATAAAAAATGCATTTAAATGAAAATTATTTTTGTATTTCGATAGGCCTTCGCTTAAGATCGTAAGTTTTTCAATTGTCGTGTTCGAAATGGTTTTCTACACAATTGTAATACCGAAACCCTAATGTCGATGCTATTCGATATCCGATACGTAAAATGTAACGAAAATTTGAAAATTTAAAGAGAGAGAGAGAGAGAGAGAGAGAGAGAATAGCTTAGCCTCCCCCATTCCCATCATTATGTTAAGTTTCTATTCCTTTTGCGTTAATATTATGTTTGATTAAAATATGTTATTATTGATAATCGGCATTCTGTACTTTGTGGCGATTCATTCACTGCACTTGTGGTGATTTAAGAGCGCAAGCATGTGTTCTACCGGTATAAATTATAAAAAATTTTTCTTTATGGATAGATTGACGGACCTTGAGACAAATCAAAGTCGTGAAATATTACAATTCCATTACACAACCTGGCCTGACTTTGGCATACCTAGTTCGCCAGTTGCTTTTTTGCAATTCTTAAAAGAAGTACGTGACTCGGGTGCCTTGGATACAAATGTGGGACCTGCGGTAGTACATTGCAGCGCCGGAATAGGTCGTTCAGGAACATTTTGTTTGGTAGATTGCTGCTTGGTACTGGTAAGTATAATGATACAATTCGCTGCTTTTGTTTTCCGCCCTAGACATATCCATTTGCATGTGATGCAACTATTATATCCTCAATAGATCGACAAGGAGGGCGTAAACAATGTATCTGTTCAGAATGTTTTGTATGAATTGCGTAGGTATCGCATGGGACTAATACAGACCGCCGATCAATTATATTTTTCATATCAAGCCATCATTGAGGGTATTAAATTACTTAAAGATCCGGTTGGTTGAGTATTTCATAAATATAATTGGAAAAGAAAGTATTTATTTACACATTGTATGACATAAATGTTTATTAGGAATTTCTTAATTACAAGGAGGCATCTATAATTGCCAGCGAAGATACATTATCACGCCAAGACCAATGCAATTTAGACGAAATACCACCGCCCTTACCACCGCGCACGCATTCCCTCTTACCAATTAACGATGCTGAAGGATCTTTCGATTTAAGAGCTCTTACTCACAGCAAGCCTCTTCCCAAAATTCCGGCCAGTGTCAGTTTTAACGATGATTTGTACGCGTCAGAAAACAATGTCAAGAAAGATGCTTTGAACAATTTTATTAACAACGAGAGAAACACGGAAAGTATGTCGAATAGACCACTTCCGCCACTGCCAAAACATCATCAAAACTCCCTACATCGCGTTCGCGAATTTGACAGCGATGATAATGAGTTCTTTGAGGATAATGATAATAGCGAAGAGGACGATATAGTAGACGAGGATGAGGAAAAATGTGATGCGGATGCCAATGACAAAAATACAAATGAAGTTAATCGAAATGACAGCAATAGGTCACAAAATAATCACAAAGATCAAGCAAATGACAATGATTTAATCAAGTTGAATGGCTTAGAATCGACTAGCAGTGCCAATTTGAGGTATATATTTTTTCTGTCAATATCTACATATATATGTCTATATATATGGAGTGTGTTAAATTGACTTTATATCATCCCTTTTTGTAATTTAGTCCGGAAAATGAACTACGCCGCAGGAAACGCGCTGAACGCCAGGCGAATATCGAACAAAAAGTCAATGAAATCAAACGGAAGCAACGCGAGAACGAAGAGAGCAAGCAAACAGCGAAAAAACGAAGGTCAATAATAACATATATAACGGCGGGTGTTATTGTGGGTGTTATTTGTGTGTACGCTTATTCAAAATGGGCCTAAGACCATCAAACATCATCGTCGGTCTCGCTCACCTATCCCTTTTTCCCATATCTCAAAGCTATCTTTTTTTATTTTCACTTCCGTTCAGTCTCAATTTTTTGAAATTTGTGGGCGTGTACGTGCGTTTTGTTTTGTGTGTGTATGTGTGTGTACGTGCGTATGCGCGCGTACATAAATCTGAGTAACCGATATTTCAGCATCTACGATTCATGAGTGAGACAACAGAAATCACAAAATTTCAGAATACAAAAAAAAAAAAAAAAAAAAAAAAAAAGAAACGGACACTCTCGGAGAGCGCTATACAACACATTAGAAAATATTTAAACCTCTGATACTACCTGTTGCACACATTAATACACTTATACGAACGAAGCATTATTAAAACTTGTTTTTACTTTCGCTCTTATTGATTTTACCTATAATGCTTAAAAACTAATTTGACTTTTTCTAATATAATGTAAGTAAATAAGCAATTTAAATTAATTTTGACTTTAGTGTACAATTTCAACGTTTCTTCTCTATTAAAAAGAATATATATTTATACTTTATTTGTTGCTATCAAGTCAAATGATTTGATTTAGTTGCTTTCCCCTATTGCGCGAGGTAACAATGTGAAAAACTTTTTGTAAATGAATCTACAACAGACTGACTAAATACAAATTTTTTACACACTTAATATATTATATATAAAAAACAAAAACAAAAACAAAAAAGAAGAGTAAGTAAATTTAATATCAATTATGGATCAGTGTGAAAAAATTCTTGTCGAGAAGTAATTAAATTAAATTGCACTCAAGCATGCGTAAAAATATCCTTTCATAGCTGTTATTCAAATATGTTGTCATTGCGTTTAATTTATAACCATTAAAAGAATCAAGGAAAATCACATTTAGTTTTCGTTTCCCGTATGTTGGAGCATTTATTCACATTCATAGAATATCTTTTGGATTGACAAAACTTTAATTGTACTTGGTCTTTGTTATTGTGTGGTCTACGCATAGTCGATGCATTTATACTTTTAAAAAATCTTGCCAAGATCTCGTAATAAGAAACTGATTATAATTGGTTATTTTTGACATTGATTGGCAACCGTTGAATGACTTAAGCTGTTTGTAAAATTCAAATGATTATCGTCACAGTTTTTTAATATAAGCAAATTCAATTCGTCCGCTTAAATAACATTTCACAAGTTTATATAAAATGCTCCTTCCGAAAACATACAAACAATTCAATATTTTTATTTCAGAACCTAAAATCAAATAATTTTAAATTAGTTTATCTGTTTTTATACATAATTTTTTTTTTTTTTTATTTGTTCAATTTTCTTACACACATTTAATAATATAGTAAATCTCATACTATTGCATGCTTTATTATCATACAACATTACATTACTTCTATACATACGTACATACTTGCATACTATATATTAATCATACAGACAAACATATATATTAAAGGAATAATAAGATATTAATAGTAATAATATATCATTAATAATATGATAAAAGAAATAAATATAAAATTAAAAAAATTTTATTTTTATTTTTATAAATTTATCTTTTATACCCTATAAAAAAAAAAAAAAAAAAAAAAAAGCAATAACAAAATCCTATAAAAACCTTTATACCGTTCAGAAAAAAAAAAAAAAATGATGCCCTCAAACTGCTTATTTATCATTAGTGAAGTATACGTTAAGGATCGCCCCCAACCCTCTCACCGCGCCACATCGTCCATCTACTTTTCCCATTCCATCATAAACATATAATAAAAAATTGAAATATTCCGAAAAATTATTGTATTTAATCACCACATGCAAACACACACAAGCGTACATATAATCTATGAATTAATAAAACAAAAAAATAATTGAAGAAAAAGATGATTTTTTGTTTATTTTCTAACGGTTTTTCACATTGTTCATTTTTTTCTTTTTTTTTGTGTTTATTTTTACAGAGATGGCAAGAAGAGAAATTAGCACAATTTTTGCCATGTATGGTCATGCACACACATTCCTGACATTTCCCATTTATTCACCTCCGACCTGAGACAACTATAAAAATTCATTTTCATTTACTCACTGATTAACATACTGGATTTAATTTAAATTAAATGGAAAACATCCGTTATCATATTTTTGTACTTATATTTTTGTAATATTTGTAATGCATATGTGTATATGTATACACATATATATAAATTAAAACAATAAAATACAGTGATCAATACTCGTATTAAACTCGCCTACACAATCCTTGCTTTCCAATGTTGTGTAAATATATAAAAATAGATGTTCAAAAAGCATTAAGCATCTCCTACACTCCTACATTTGTCGCATAAAGAAAAATATTTAAAATGTATATGTCAAAAAGAGAAAATAAGAAAGAAAATTCAAATAATTTTTGATATCGTCTTTTTAATGGGAAAATGATAATTTCATCAAAGCAGACTTTGCAGGCTTTCTTTTGAAAAGTTTGAACACTAATAAGAATTAATGTTTCATTTGAACGTGAATTATCGATGCAGCGATATTTTTCTTTATAGGAATAAATGTGCCAATTTTTTTATATAATTTTGGCAACTCTGCTAAATTACAATTCATTACTCATCTTGTAGAACGTTAAGTTCTACTGGGGAGAAAATTACAATTTTTGTTGGAGATTTTGCAATAGCTTAAATCAAGAGAATAATAAATTAATCACATAATTGGTTGGTAAGCAAAAGACTATAGGTAGAAAATATTAAAATGGTGCCGGCTGCAGAAGAAGCGCAAATAGCAAAATTATTATCAAAGGTAAACAGAATAAGCGATGGACAAACAAAGAACGCACAGATTTGGGTCTGTCGTCATCACCAATACATATAAAAAATAATCGTTTCCATTTTCTTTGATTTTTAATTAAGAAAGTATTTCATTTTACAGTATAAACATGCGAATGTTACAAAGAAAGAAGTTATTGATGTGATAGCTAATTATAGGAGTTTGCAATATCAATTGCAGAAATTCGGTAAGTTCTTTTTGCAAGTAGTGAAATTATACCAAATTATGTATAATTTTTTTTTTTTCATATTTAGTTTTTAATGATGGCAGTTCCAAGGATTTGTTTAACTTACAGGGCACTATACCAGTTGTATACAAGAGTACGTTTGTAATAATTTTATTGCCATAAAAAGTCTTGTGATTACCTTTTAGCATTTCTTTAGATAACACATACTACATTCCCATTTGTATCTGGTTAATGGATACTCATCCAGTGAATGCACCTTTTTGCTATGTAAAACCTACGCAAAACATGCAAATTAAGGTTTCAATGTATGTAGATCATAACGGACGTATCTATTTACCATATTTGCATGATTGGCAACCTGTGAGTTAAATCCGTATTTATACAACAACGAAACATTTCATCCTAATTGAAATCTTTTTCGTACAGAATTCTAGCGATTTATTATCTCTGATACAAGTTATGATTGTCACGTTTGGTGAACATCCACCAGTTTATTCTAAACCCAAAGAACAAGTAACGCCATATCCCACATCATGTAAGCAATTTCATGAAGGTCATCAAAGGACATAGAACTTTAAATAACTTGCTTTTCAGCGTTTATGCCACAGCCAGGGGGAACCCAAAATGCGGCAACAGGGCCTGGAAACTCTTACTTACCGTATCCCACCAGTGCCGCAAGTGCCTTTCCCCCATATCCTCCGACCGCTTCTAATAGCTTCAGTGGTTATCCCCCCTATCCAGCAGCAAACAGTGCTGTTGGCGCCAGCTCGACTTCCGGTGCCGTCACTTTTCCACCGTATATGAACTTTTCTTCAGTTCCTGGCTATAATTCAGGCTATGTACTCTTAGGATTTTATTTATTTTAGTGTCGATTTTTTTTCTACTTATATCATTTCAATTATACAGAATTCTTCAAATCCTAGCACAACTGGCACTATAACGGAGGAGCATATTAAGGCGTCTCTGGTAAGTGCGGTGGAAGATAAATTACGACGTCGTGTTCAAGAAAAGGTCAATCAATGTCAAGCGGAAATTGAAGCCTTAAATCGAACCAAGCAAGAGTTGGTAGAGGGCAGCGCTAAAATTGACGCCATTATATTGCGCCTGCAACGTGAAGAGGTAATCAAATATGAAATCAATTACTTTATGTTATAATCAGCATAATGTTCTTTCTTTTAGATGGAATTAGAGAAAAATATAAATATTTTGCGTGACAAAGAACAAGAATTAGAGAAAAACTTGGAATCTTTGGAAAATTCTGAAGTAATCGATCCTGATGAAGCTGTTACAACCACCGCACCATTGTATAAACAGTAAGCAACATAAAATGACCAATGATTAAGAAGACTATATCTATGACGTGTATTTCAGACTACTTAACGCTTATGCTGAGGAAGCTGCCACAGAAGACGCCATTTATTATCTGGGTGAAGCTTTGCGAGGCGGGGTTATTGATTTAGAAACTTTTCTAAAGCATGTTCGCCATTTGTCACGCAAGCAATTTATGCTACGTGCTATTATGCAGAAGTGCAGACAAAAAGCCGGTCTAGCTGGCTGAACAGTTAAAAATTGCTAATGACGCTTTGTCAACTCTTCGTAACGAATGTAAAGTGTTATAAAAATAGTTATGTGTTTATTATTACTCAACGATATTCAATTCGATGATGAAATTGAAATTAATATTTAAAACGAATATTTGCATTAAATTGTACCCATAAACAAAACTAAATACATATATACAACCTTCTAGTTACAAAAAGAAGTCGAAAGTTTATTTATTTTTTTATACGACTATAATCAACTACTATTTTCGCGATTGGATTCTCAATCTAATGTATACAGTTTAAAAAGTTTACATGTTAAGAGATTTATATTTAATGCTTTATGTTAGTACAAATCATGAAATATATATGCATTAAAAAACTAAAAGCCATGCTTATATGTCATCCGTATGGTGTTTTTCTTTTCGAATTCTCTCCTTTCGATTTTTATATGTAAATGCCGACGGCCAACATCAAGAACATTACGCCAAAACCCAAAAATACTGACGCACAAAAACTAATTAATAGTTCTTTAAACAAAGTTTTTTCTTTAGAGTTCTTCGGACGTGAAACCATATATATAAAATACCAGGCAGTAAAAAAAGTGCCGATTATTAGCAGCACAGTTGCCAAATGAGGAAAGATGGCTGGATTAATTGGTGACACGTATCTTCGCATTTCAACTTTCATTTTTTGAGTAAGGATGAATTGAAAATTTATACAATATTATTTAAGACCACTTCACTCACTTTCCGCCGACTATTTGTGTGAATAAAATATATATATATATAAAAGCTAAATATAATCCTGACGTGGCCGGCTTATATGTTGTCTTCGTGAAAAATAAAATGTTTCCATTGGTATTGTACTGTTGCCCTCATGAGGCATATGTTTTTATCACGTATTGTTGTCTTTTAACATCTCTGTTAAAAATCGCAATTATAACTTCTGGAAATTTTGAAAAATGAATTCCCAGAAAAGCATAACGTCAGCTTTCATGTCTGATACGATTGAAATTTAATTAAAAAAAAACGTAGATTTGTGATCTGTTGGAAAAAAATTTTTTCCTTTTAAACCGATAAAATAAGAAACTGATTATAGATACATAAACAGCTCTCTACACGATTGGTTCTAAAGTAGCCATTTTGAGGCGATCTTTAGGTAAAGAAATTTCTTCGTTTGCAAAAATATATAAACTGACAAGATATACAGATTAACAAAGGATACATATTATAAGAATCCGATTCCCTATGTAGACACACAACACAATTTCGCAATTAGTTTGTAAATTTATGATATATATTTTACATAAAATTTACAATATTACAAAATTCATAAAAGTAACAAATTAGCTTCTTCCTCAAGCGTGCGAACTCGTTTTTGCTTAGTTAATTTTATTTGCATAATTTTTCTCTAGGAGGAATTCATTTGCCTGGTTTCTTATCAACTATTAATTTGGCAATTATCCTAATAACTATTTATAAAATCCAACACTTTTCCACATTTACATTTTCATTTTTTAAACTTGTATGAAAATCTGAAGAAATCGCTAGTTTTCCAAAACACGTCATAATATACAATGCCTTCAGTTTTCTCGATTTTTTGAACTTTTATTTAGTATCGCAATTGAAAATATCATATAAATGACAATAATCTTGTGGTATTTTGTAAAAAGTAAATGTTGGCATCCCTAGTTGATAAAAGAGTGAGCAGCTTTAACCCTATGGTTGAAGAGTTAATCTGAGACATTTTCAAGGCTTATGGCAATTTTAAGTAGATCCTGAGCACATGAATTGCAAAAAAACATTTTGGTCGTAAAATAATAATAATAATTGCCTAAAGTTTGTATAATGGACAGGGTAAGTACTAAAAAAGCACGACACAGAGAGGTTTCAGCACAATAAATATTTTTGATTTTAGAATAATTACGAAAATGCAGATGATATAAATGAAATGGAGTCACTTTTGTATGCTCAAATACATCACGAGGTCGTAAACGAAAATAAAACTCCCGAGTTAGGAACTCTAAATGCTTCTAAAGATTTCGAAGGCAAGAGCAATGATAAACAACAAGTCATAGAAACAAACATAGGCACTGACTGCCTGACTGCAAGTCAATTATTATCGAAACGTTACTGGAATAGTACGAAAGTAACTCCTGATTGTCAACAGAACCAAGGATTCGTACACAAAACAAAGTATGCTTTTACTCGGAATCCGCTAAAAGTCGAGCAACAACGCAACCTCTATCATTCAGAGAATATCGACGGCAATGTTAACGCTAATATTAAGAGTTCAGAATACGTTATCCAACGGAATGGTAAAAAGAGTGCTGCCAAAATTCGGCCAATGTCGAAAATAGATCTAAAACCCAATCCAGTAGCCAGGTGGATGGAGCGAAATAAAAAGGATTCCATCAAAGCTTTAAATACCGCAAACCCTCGTAATGTGTTTAATGTTCCTAAACTATTAAAAAATGGTCCATTTAGTAGACAAATGCAAAAGCTCGAGAAACACAAGCAAATGAAAGAAAAGAAAGAAAAGTCCAAAAAAGCACGAGCCTCAGCTGCAACGGTAGAAGTTGCAGACGTAATTGAATTGGATTCAAACGAATCGGATAACAGTGATGTTATTATGATTACTGTGCCGCCGCCGCCTGTCATTACAATTGCGGAAAGTGACGACGAAAAATCCAAAAACTCTGTTCAGTCGAAAATTGCGAAAAAAGTAACTGGAGTAGGCTCGAAAGATGCACAAATAAAGAAGACCTGTTCGAAATTTTTAAAACCTAGACATGTCCGCGCAATTCTTCCTGAATCGACGGAGAAGAGCTTCGAAAATTCATCCCGTTGTACATCGGCATGTTCGATAATTTCATCTGATGATTTTATTGGGCAAAACGATCGAAGTCGTTTGCTTACAACTTCTAGTGGAATCGCTGACGATGAAGACCTCGTGTTACTTACTTCTGATGTGGATAATTTAATGCAAGCTCAGCAAGAGGAAAGTACTTGTGAAAAAAGTCAGCACAATGAAGTTTCCAAGAAGCAAGAACAAGCCGACTCTGTTCCTGCTACTCTGTGTGACCCAATTCGTCGCAAAATTAATTATCGCGTTGACCAGAACCAATTCAAGGCATTGGATGTGTACGAAAGTGAATCGGATATAGCTGATAACATATACGTGAAAGGTATGGCAAAACCTACAGTCATTCGGGAAATTGTTAGCAGTTCCGAAAGTGTAGAAGATATCAGTTCCATACCGAAAACAAAACGACTTCGCAAACGTAGAACCTTAAGCAGCCAGAAAGATTTAGAAATTAACAGTGAACTTGAAAGTACTGATGACAATGAAGAAATCGATGGAGGCAAAAACAATGTTCATAATATGCCTTATATAGCGCGGGGTCCAGCCGTAGAACATTACAAATCACGAAAGAGGCTGTCTACAAATCCTGAGGTTTCGCTTCCCGTAAAAACTTCAAAATTTGCAAATGCTGCGAGTGGCACTCGTGACGCCAATTTTGTTTCACTATTAAAGAATTTGGTTCAAGATAGAGACAGTTTAATGAATGCGGAAATGGACCAAACTGACTCAAGCGAAGGGCTAACTGCTCGTGAGAATGCTGAAAAAGTTTTGACAAAGAAAAAGGCACCAACCCCTTCTGTGCCTATGGATGCGGCCTTACCAGAAAGGGCATGTGAGGGTTTAACCGAAGTTTTTCAGACGATTGATGAATTTGACAAAAATAGGAAAAACGAAGATGAATTAGATTATTATGCGTCACCCAAGCCGGGCTTACAGGAGGGCAACAGAATTGAGGTAATCGCTTCGGATGATGATCAAATAGTAGATCTAATACATGAAGAAGAAAATCCCCTTTTTACTGCCGTTTCTCATCCAATGGCAACACAACAAAAAATTATAGCCAATGATTCACCAATATATAATATCACTTATTCTAAAGATTACAATCCGGCGATTGGACCCGGCTGGAATGAAGAAATGCGCAAATTCTACCATGAGTCTTGGCATGGTGAAAAGTTCTTTTTAAGACGGATATTAGTAAGGATGAATCGTAAGTTCAGTAATTTCATACAACGATTTTCATTTTGCTTGCAACATTTATTTTTTTATTAGCTGATAAAAGCCTATGGAAAATTTATACTGAAGACCGTTTCAACAAACCATTACGACGTTTCAGGAACTTAAAATGCACCAATTGTTGCGAATTTGGCCATCTCCGATCTAAATGTAAACGGCCTAAAAAGCCTATGGTTTGCTATATGTGCGGCGAAGGTGGTCACCACGAACCTCGCTGTCCCAACACTATATGTTTAAGGGTAATTTTTTATGTTAATTTTTAGATTAATTGACATAATATATATGTATGCTATTAGTGCGGAAACAAGACTCATGTGTTTACAAAAAGTTGCAATGCATGCACCTTTCAAAATCGCCTTACTTGTCCGATATGTAATATTCGTGGACATTCGGTTGAATTCTGCCCTGACAAGTGGCGTAGATACCATTCAACGGTCAGTATTTTATTTATTGAGGTATATTCGGACATGATTTATATTTATTGCTTACAGACAGAACCAAACGTTCTTCCCATCTACAAAAATGTCCAATATAATAAAAGGAAATATTGCTGCGTATGCGGTGCTCGCGGTCATTTATCTGATTCTTGTAACAATGCTGTACGCATTATGGAATATCCAGTTATATTAAGTACGATAAAATCGTACCAAAAATCATATCCGGATTATCCAACTAGATCCCAATATAACGGCATTGGTCTAAACTTGATGTATGAACCTAATAAAGATCTGTACTTTCAAATGGCTAATAATACCGACGAAGAAAAATATTATGGTCGTTTTCTAAACACTGTCGGCATGGGTTATCTACTAAATCGCCGAACAGATACAAATTTAGAGAAACCTTCGATCGAAAAAACCAATATCCGTAACTCATGCTCCAAAGCTACTAACCAACAGGCGGAAAAAAATGCAATGGATCCTCCAAATCAAGTAAACTAATACTCAATATCCATAATCTTTTTTCGTCCAATTAATAGATTTTTTCCAATCCATTTCTATCCAGGTTCAAGAGGTAAGCGAAAGTGGTAGTGTTGAAATAGTTGCACTTGCAGATAATAGCGAAGTCTCGATAGCTAGCACGCAAGATCCTGATATCGTTGCAAATGATGATAATGATGACGACACCAGTCCTGCCGTTGTTTTTATTGAAGATGAAATTGCTGAAAATATCCAATTACATGTGAAAGGCAATGACGCTCAAATAACTGATAGCTGCGTGTCTAATGTTGAAGATGTTGAGTCCCCAGGCTCGAATTCCAATTACAGCTTCTCTGAACATTTTCAAGAAGCGTCAGCTTATAAACCTGTATGTGATCAAACTAGTGACCTCCAACAGGTGCAACCGGTTAAAGAGAACACTAAAATACGGGAAATGAAAGCTTTGCCAGACTTTATTCCTTTGTTTAATTCTCCTGATGTTAACGATATTTCCAGTAACGACGACAATGATAATGAAGCACCAACAGAAGACGACTGCTTGCAGGCTGGGATTTCGCGCAAGTTCGTTATGATTAATTCGGATGAAGAGAATGCGGAAAATAGTACGAAATTGCCGCCAAATTCGCCTTGCGAGGCTAAAATTTATTTGACGCGTTTCCATAGTAAATATCTATTATCACCCAAGGGTCATAAATTTTTGATCAAAACATCGGAGGAATGTGGCTTGAAAGCTCGTCTTGACTGGACCTCCGTAGGGCATGTTCTCATTATCTTTGGTTTTCCGGCCGCGCAAGATAAGTTCCATGCAAAACTCCTTGACATCTTTCGAAAGCATTTCGAAACGATGCAACTACAGAAGTTTCAAAATGTGCCAAAACGAACCGATGGGCTTATACGGTTCCTGCGTGGAAACATTAAACAATTACTAACCAATTTGGGCAGCGCTGAGAGCTTGCTGCGACGTGTCGAGACCTATGAAAAGAGGCAAACAAAGCAAGCTTATAAAATTGCTGAAAAGGCTCGACGTTCTCTCAATATGATCCTTCTTGGGCAGGCCGGATTAGCGAACGGCGGTAACCATTTAGACAAACTCTTAATGAATTTGAAAAGCCTTATTGATAATCATAGCGCCGAAGACCTCGCACCCTCGGAATTGCGAACTGAAATAACGGAACATTGGCTGCCAATTTTCACATCATATCGTCATAGCAACTACCAGGAAATGGTTGAGACATATAATAAATTGATCTCCAGAAACCGCTTGCCAAAATTAAACTTTGATCTTCAGCTATTAGGCGTAAAAGTATTCAACAGAAAGGGAACTTTCGGTCGAAAAGAAAGAATTAACTCAAGCCAATTGTCGAGCTTGAATATACAGTCGACTTTATCTAATTCCACAAGCGGAAAAAGTGCAAAAAATATGATAAATAGACAAAAGCCAGATGACATAAAGCGTTCAAGTTCAGCGTCTTTTAAAAATTCAAAAATTGCAACATCTGCAACCATCTCGCCCACACAAGTATCATTAGCAAAATTAACCTCAAACGATTTCAAAAAATCACCGCAAAATCAATGTAAACAGATGACGCCACCACCGCAAGCAAGTATCAATGTTAATGAAACTTCTACCACGAAATTTAAGAATTGTTGCGATACTTTTTTGAGTAACATTACTAGCGAGACAAATAAGCAGAGTGGAAATGCGAAATTAGCGTCAGTGTATTGGTCGCGGGAGTCTTTACTTTTTTTAAATGAATGCATTAATGTTATGACTGGCCCAGCTGAAGTCCTTGAAGGCCTTGAACGCGTTCAGACCAAGGCTAAAAACTCTCAACTTTCTTATGCTGACTATTTAGCGGTTATAAAACTTCGTAACTCTCTCATTCGCAAATAATGCCGGTAATGAAACAACGACTTCTCATTATTGTCCATATTATATTTTATTATTAAACAACTATACATTTTGTACAGCTTTAAAACGATTTTCCGTTTATTACATTGAACTCGGTTCGCTTCAAAATGGAATTTACTGATTTGTAAATAAACGGATGAAGCTTTCAATATACCACCAGATTTACTTTTTGTTGTTTGTTTAGTTCATCGAAGCGCTGAAATTTATTTCTTTGAAATAAAATTACAACTATCCCACATATAACTCGGTATGCAATAAGATTCTATTTATTCATTTGGCTGGATCAAGACTTTTTCTTTTACAAACCAAAACATAAAAATTACTACAACATAAGTAAAATTTTCTATATTCAAGCGCACATCAACGACTTTATCGAAAGAAGTCACTTTATGCTTTAGGCGCGTATTTTGATCAAATTCGTGAGGGCGTTTAATATCATAGTCCGGGTACAAGATTTAGTCATCAACGAATGCCGTCTTATATACATTATAACACTTACTTACTATTATTAAAATTATTCATTACACTAATAGTAAAAAATACATTTATTAAGCTGCTGTTGTCTGTTGTTGACTTTGTTCTTGTGTTGTGGTCGAAGCTGTTGTCGAAGCTTCTCCAGATTTTTCGTTAATCGCCAACCACGGGCAACGCTTTTGTAATTCTAAACGGTATTTTGGATGACTTATAGCATATACAAATGGATCGACGCAAGCAACCATTTTACATGTACATGCTGGTATCATTGTGACGCCAGGTGTTAAGAGACTCTTATCTCCAAATGCTCCAATTAATGACATTACACCGTACGGAGTCCACGAAACGAAAAATAAAAAACAAATTGTAATGGCTGCTTTGGCAATGCGTATTTCTGCAGTATCCTTGCTCTTATCTACATTAGATCGTAATGATTCAACATTCATTTTCTTTGCCTGATCACGAAGGGCTTTCTCATGGCTAAAGACATGTCCGACTATTTGACTGTAGTAGTATATAATCATTGTAGTAGGGCAGACGAAACTGAAGAAAAATATCGTGCCTACAAAGAGCCGTGTATCAAAGTTGTCAGTTAAATAATCGAAAGTGCAGGATGTCAGGTAACCCTCTGAAAATAAAAGCAAAAAAGTAACGGTATTACTCTCACCAATACCCAAAAATAATGCTTTTATTTCAACAATTTCGCCCCAAATACTAATTAACGGTAATACAATAAAATTTTGATATGTGTAGTAAATATTTTATATATTATACAAAACCTGAAGCATATTTGTCCGTTAGACTGTATAAGATTTAGCATTAAATTGTCTGATTAGACGCGTTGTTTTTTTTTATATTTTTCATTTCAATTGCTAGATCATAATATTCACAAATTAAACTGTGTTCTGTGTTCGCTAATAAAAAACGATTTTTTTTTTCGTATATATTATTTCTAATGTAAAAATTACTGTTATAGCGAACATTATTATCAAATTTTGTTATTTTAAGATTTCAACATTATACGAACCGGTAACCCTATTTCGTATATATTATTTCTAATGTAAAAATTACTGTTATAGCGAACATTATTATCAAATTTTGTTATTTTAAGATTTCAACATTATACGAACCGGTAACCCTATCCACAAAAAGCGTGCAAAATACATAGAAAAAAGTACAGGAAGTTGGCAATACTATATAAAAGAAAATCATTTATAGATATAGGAAAAAAAGTATTTGAAAGTGAAAATTATTAAAGAAGACAATAGAAGCAAATTAATTGAATTAAGTGGGACGTAAATACAGTATAAAAGAAAAACATGTTTTGATTGTATAAAATTTAAATCAACAGACCAAAAGTATTTTTAATTAAATATTAATATATGCTCGTGTTTACAATATTGCTATAACGAAAAATTCTTAAGTCCGTAATTGAAAATTGCAAGGCAAACGATATGAAAATTTTGGACACTTGTAATAAGCTATAATATGGAGTAATAAAAAGCTAAAAAATTGTAGTATATGCTGAAGTGGTCGTTTTATAGAATTGAGAAACTCAATAAACGACAACGAGTGCAAGTAGAAAACAATAGAAACCATACATAACATAAAATAACGAATGACGACAACGCAACGCTACGTAGTCACATTTTAGTTACTGCAACATGGCAGCGGCAGATTAGTGACAGCGACAACTATAAAATAAAGAACGTGATAAAAGCAAAGTAAATAAAAAATTGTTGTGACGATAATACTGAACGCAACCACACAAAACGCAAGTTGTGAAATTATAACTACAAGTTGAAGGAAGTAATTTCTAGAGAATCCTTATTACAAGACGACAACAAAAAATTATATACTGCCTATAAAAGTTTCACTTTCAAAGCGAATCCAAGAAAACCAAACAAACAAACTATTGCTCAGTAACAGAGTAGACTACAGATACGGTTCATTTATTACTGCACAGAGTGCATTTTGAAAAGTTCGCGTTGTTTGTGTCATCATAATTGCAGAGCATACATACAAACTTCAGTAACTGTGTGTAAGAGGAAAAATAGTAAGGAAAAGGAGTAGACGAACGTCGGAAATGAATACTGCAGCACAATACTACATAACATTAAATGTAAGTTATTTTTGTAGTAGTTTTTGTTGTTATATTTACTTCGTGATAGTCTAAAAGACCTCTAGAATTTTAAATTCAATTAAGCTAAAAATTTATAGGTCTTTTATTTAGCGACAATAACTTCTCAATATTTGAGTATTTTAAAAAATGAGTATCCATACAATTTCAGAGTCGGGTGTTTAATTAAAGACGTAAATTTGTACTATACATTGACAACATTGAGACCACCAAGAAAAGGAAAAACTATTTAAATAGCAAAATAAATTGAATTACTTAAATGCTTGTTCGATCATCATTACTTAACTGCCAAAACAACGCACGCTAGCTTATAAATTGTCCGTAAATTGTATACCAGCGTTTACGAATACACAACCATTTATATACACCTGACAAATGTCAAATAAAATCAATCCTAAACGTCGTGAAATACCAACAGCTACTGGTACAGGAAATTCTGGCACCGGCACCACGTCGGCAAACACATCGTCATCGTCTAGTTCTTCATTGTCGTCCGCCGGTGGCGGTGATGGTGGTATGTCTGCGGATTTAACATCGCTATTCGAGTGCCCGGTGTGCTTTGACTATGTGCTGCCGCCAATTTTACAGTGCTCCAGTGGACATTTAGTATGCGTTTCATGCCGTTCGAAACTTACTTGTTGTCCCACATGTCGTGGACCTCTGGCTAACATACGAAATCTCGCCATGGAAAAGGTGGCATCAAATGTGAAATTTCCGTGCAAGCATTCAAGTTATGGGTGCACAGCATCACTACTCTATACTGATAAAACGGAGCACGAGGAGGCCTGCGAGTTCCGCCCATATTTATGTCCTTGCCCAGGGGCCTCCTGTAAGTGGCAGGGTCCGCTCGATCTAGTTATGCAACACCTAATGATGTCGCACAAGAGTATCACTACACTTCAAGGCGAAGATATTGTTTTCTTGGCCACCGATATCAATTTACCCGGTGCCGTGGATTGGGTAATGATGCAGTCATGTTTTGGACACCATTTCATGCTGGTGCTTGAAAAGCAAGAGAAATTCGATGGCCATCAGCAATTTTTTGCTATTGTTCAATTAATTGGATCGCGAAAGCAGTCAGAAAGTTTCGTTTACCGCCTAGAACTTAATGGAAATAGGCGACGCTTAACTTGGGAAGCAATGCCACGTTCAATACACGAAGGTGTTGCATCAGCTATCCACAATTCAGACTGTTTAGTGTTTGATACATCAATTGCACAGCTTTTCGCAGATAATGGCAATTTGGGAATTAACGTCACCATCTCTCTGGTATAATAATACAAACAATAGAAAACTGCTATGCTGGCGATATAATTGATTGATTATTGGTCATCGTTAGCAAATGATAAAATGGCTCTTTCTCATACCATAGTATGTAGATATCTGAACAAAAAAAAAGAAAAAAAAAAAAAAAAAAAAAAAAAAAAAGAAAAAAAAAAAACAAACTATCGCCTATACATGGAGTTTCTCTGATATATTCTTTTTTTTTCTTCTAGCCAGAAAAACTCTGAATGGCAGCAGACGAAATCTCTTCGGCCTCTTATTCGTTCAACCCTTACTGTGACTTTTCCTCCTTTTAATCAAGTTTTTTTTTTCTTTTTTTTTTTTACTTCCAATTATGTTTTCGTATTTTTTAAATTAATTTTATACACAAATTAATCAATACTGTGCAGGTAAATGCTTTTGTACATAAAAAATCCTTAAGATAGATGTCCATCACCTCATATGTAATCAATTGAAATCAGTTTAAATTACGTTTGTTGTTGTGAAAACGGATCAGAAATCTACTTTTAAATGTAACAGAAACAAATATCAGAATAAAAACAATGAAGCCTTAACTTTAACTTAAGTGTGAATTACTATAACTACATATTTTTCATATCTCAATTGGATTTATTTCATTTTCCGGAAAAATATCAAAAGAATATTATTTCGTATTATTATTTTTCTTTCATTTGTCAAATTTTTTCCTGTTTTTTTTTTTTAAATTTAAGAGCTTGAACTTTCGATTTTTAAAATTATTAAAAATGTTTGCAATAATTTTGTTGAGAATGAATGTTAATTTCCTTGCGAATACAAACACAAACAAACGTGTAAACACACACGCAGGGAGTGAGAGAAAGAGAAGCGAGCGCGGACACACACACACACACACACACACACACACACACACACACACACACATCCTCATACAGAAATACAAATACGCGCGGTCGCGACGGTCTCGTTACATTGATTGTATATTCTTATAATGACTATAAAGCTTATCTACGTTTCTTGATTTCTTTTTTTTATCATTACTGCTATTATTATTATTATTATTATTATTATTATTATTATTATTATTATTTATATTTTTAAAGTTTAGATAATATTACTGCAAAGTACACTAAAGAATTCAAATAATAACAAAATTAGATTGTTGATGAAAAAAGGATTGAAACTGAACACGTATAGAAAACTACACAAATCCATTTATATTTGGCTTGAGTCGAGTTGAATCTTCTTGTATTAATCCCTCACTTATATTGACATACTTGAATTAAGTTTTTATACTCAGCTTATCTGAGATATAACGACTCGGTTCGTTTCGCTAGCGAAATATATTGCAGATAAATAAATGCATCTTTCATTATGAACATTTTACTTAAATTTATTTAAAGAAAATTAAAGTGATATTAAAATTTTTGCAATTCTGGCAGAGGAATTGTGTCAATCAATTTATTACAAAATTCCTTAAGGATCGTACGTAATCGGCTTAAATGAAATGATTTTACTTTAAAATTTCCTACGTCAGACATACTAATAGACATAATTAATGAACAAAATTAAATGAGAATCTCATGCCAATTTATTTTGATTTGATTCGAAATATTATGAACGGGATTACAAAATTAGTACGCTACTATCTCACAGCGTTGATTAATAATAATATATAATTCTGCAAGGGATTCACATGAAAAGAAGAACATGAGCAGACAACAAAGCAAAGTAAAAAAACAAAAAAACAAAAAAATAATAAAATATTTTCCTTAGGTTAGTTGATCTCTATATGGTAATGAAATGATTATAATTATTCACAACAAAAATATATTAAATAAAAAAAAATTAATAAAGAAAATGTTTTATTTATTCTTCTATGTGAATATTTATTATTTTTATATATTAAATTTAAAATAAAATATAAAACGATTGAAACCCTTTTTGGGAAGAATGTATACGTTATACTACTATGCAAGCAAGCACAAGAGGCAATGAAAGATCAGAAAGAAAGATAAATAGAAAGTTAATAATTATCGTTCGCTTTTTCTTCATTTCTTCCACATCCTCAATGAAAAGCTAGCTAGAAAATATTGACGTAAGAGTAAACATTCTATTCTATATTCCACAGCTAAGGATATGAACTTCATCTTTGTATAATGTAATTGTGATCGCGCAGACCGAACAAGTCTTATTTAGGACTAAAATTTCAAACATCACCTATTACGGACGTACTTGCGATATGAACAAAGATACAGATTGATGGATATCTCGAAAGAAATTTCACTAAGTGCACAACTTGTGATGTTATCTTACACCTTAGAAAGTTATATAAACAATAGATCGCCTTATAAAACCGAACCAAATTTGTATGTCCTAGATGCGAAAGATAAAGTACTATGACGTAGGGTTTTTATGTTAAACAATTGCATGCGGCATACAAATAAGATCCATCCGTTTTTTGATATCGTCATTAGTCTGTCAGTAGTCTTTTGCTCTTTATCGGTTAGGGTAGGGATGACCTCGCGATCGAGACTTGCCGGTTTGGACTCGAACCAGCCATCGATTCATTTTCGCACATCTCCAACTTCTTTGAATCGCTAATCGGTTAAATATGATTGCGTCGATCTGAACAAGTGGCAAACAGAAAAGGTCACATCTGAAGAAAATATAGCAAGTGCGATAAAACTTTCCAGCCTAAGACGCAAATTTTTTTTTTTTTTTTTGTCTCCTAAAACATTTTTTAACTGTTTCGTAGCCTCGTAGCCTCGGCTGCATTTTATTCCAAATTAACATCCGGTTAAAAGTACCGCAAAACGCAGTGTCGTGAATAATATCCTCACCTTTAAACTTTGATCGACTGATTTGTGAACAACTCGACTTTACATCGTTCAAACATCAATATCGAAATTATCTATATCTGCAATTTCGAGTAAACTGAAGGCGTCAGGTACGTTTCACGAAGCAACTAATTTCAGTGGCAGAAATTTATTTGTACACTTAATATATTCTTAGCGAACAATGTAGAGCAATTGCTGCTGGTCTTATGTGGAGTTGAGAATGAGTTCCAATTCGCGATTCTTTTCTATTAATTTTAGCTTTCGATATTAATGCTAAATTTCCACTTCTCATCTCTCGTTATGCGAGGAGTGGGCGACATTCCTTATCTTTTTATTGCAATAAGAAGAAAACTTTTTCGTGAAATTGGCCATCCCCATGGCCGTGAGAGGACAATTGCGATTAGCGTTTTTTAACATTTTAAAAATAGTTGAGCTAAGAAAAATCGTTTGGTCATCCGGTTTTTTTTCTGAATGAAAGAAACATAGAGGCTACTGATCATTTATAATTACCAACGGTAACCAATAAGTGTTAGCAAATATTTAATTTGAATTGGGGCTTGAATATCCGTCGGGGACCATTGAATGGAAGCGATTAAACGGAATACGATTAACAAAGCTTTTGCAATTTGCATAACGAAGATCAGCGACACAACTATGACATGCTTGAAGAGAAATCCTATGCGGTAAGTTGGATTTGAAATCGATTCAATTTTTATAACAAAGAGAAGATGCGTTACATATATATTTTCAAATATTGAAGTATTAAAAAGACTCAATTCGTATTCAGTGGTACAAATCTGTTTCAGATTTCAATGACCGGTGAAATAACTGAGGGTATTCAGTAGTCATACTCATAGATCGGTTCAGCGGCTTCGCAGTTACAATGAAAGGATCGCAACCGATTGCCGCATTCGTCATGCCAGCGCCTATGTCCGAGTATGAATCGATTGCTGCAAATTCTTGACAGCGAATGTGATCCAAATCGTATATACGATTGACACTGTTATATGTAAATATTTGGGACCGTGGCCGTATAAAATCGCATAGCGACGGCCAAGTTAACAACCAGTAAATTACAGCGAGTACGCAAAGATTTTGCTCTAAATAACGGCTTATCGATTAGAGAAGCGTATTTTATTCATTCTTGTCGCCTACGTGGGAAGTCTCCACGTGACCATTCCATTACCGATGATGGAAGCCACAAACAAACATATATAGTATATGGCCAATGCGTAGTGCATACTGTTAACCAATGCTATCGAATATGTTCAATCTGATCGGCGGGCGGAACATTCCAATCCAGATACTGAAGATCTTGAGACAAGCTACATGGAAATGCATGTAGAAAATGTTTACAAAACATATTGTTTTATTGTTTCTTGAGTATTGCATGGGATAATATTTACCGCGGCCGCGGATTTAATGCCGGTTTTATACCTATACGTATACGGGCGTTACAACACCTTCGAACCGTTGCAATTTCCTATTATTGATATTTGTTCCTTTCTTTATATAAGAAGAAACGCGCTTTTCACTATCGCGTATAGCAGTAACTATATCTATTTTATTGTGTACCTTTTTACATTGAATAACACTTTCCAATGACTAAACGGTGGTACAACAAATTTCCCGCCAAAACTCTTGCTAAGAATTTGGGCGAACTTATAATGCACTTGTCGTACGAGCGTATGATCGCCGACTTATACTGCGATCGTTTAAATAAATTTTTGGGATTGTCATAATTGCGTGTCGCGAAATGAGGCATATATGTGCATTTTACAACATTTCAGACATCCATCTGTCCATACGTACTACTTAACTGGTGAATGCGAAAGCTTGCACTGTACATTCAAAAATATTCAATTAATGCCTTTTAAATTTATAAAAATCAAACGATTTTAAAGCACAGAGTAGGGCGTGAAAAGTAAAAAAGCACTGCGAAGAAAGTGGACAAAAATGAAAGAAACAAAGAAGAGAAAGCGGAATAAATTCATTTCTAAGCTTTTCGGTTTATTATTATAGCAAGCCTGTCTGTTAATCTTGTTTTTTTTTTTAATTAAAAATTCTCCACAACAAAAGGATGTAAGCGCATACATACCTGGTACAAATCGACCCCAACTTTCCGTGACACAGGCGACCACAAAAGGCGTAGCGTATAAATAAATGAAAATCACCATTAGCAAGGCTTTACCTTGAGTCATCTTGCCTTCTAAGGGACGCGTTATAACATTGTAGCGATCGTAGGCGATAAAAGCATTGGTTGCTGATGCCCCAATGCCTGTATAAGAGCCTATTATGCCATAAATTTGACAACCCAAATTGCCGAGAGCGTAGCCGCGCATAAAACTGTTGTAAATGAATACCGGCGTTTTAAACATCATAAAGAAATCACAAATGGCCAAATTTATAACCAATATATTCGAGGGAGTGCGTAGCGATTTGGCTCTATAGGGAGATAAAAGTTATATTATTGGGAGCTATGGATTGAATAAAGGCAAAAAACTTACGCTGTAAATACCCAAATAACTAAACCGTTACCCAGTAAAGACATAATGGTAAAGAAAATATAAAGCATGGCCAGTAAATAATGTAGAGAAGCTTGTGGTTCCTCATATTGCAGCCAATGTTCGGGTATATGATGTATTTCCTCCGGTGGTACATTCCAACCTAATAAACGACTTTCAGATCCCAGCCTAGATGTGTTCACATGGATGTCATAAATTATATTAAAGTTATTCAATTTTCCAAACACTTTTCATTTTATTGCTTCCTACGTAGCCTAATGTTCAGACGCTTTCAATTGGAATATTATGATGACAATGGTATTCTCTTTGGCTTTGCATCAAGAGAAAGCAATTCGGTATTCGCTATCTGTTCTCTTTCAAATCAGTGGCTTTCCTTACTTGGAAAGTACATGAAAATATTATATAAACAACCTTAAGTATTTTAATTGTCGTCTCTCAATCGAACTTTGCTGCAATTTTCACTCAATTTATTAAACCTATATACGTATGGGTGGATTCAGGTATCGACCTAATTAATGAATCGAATTGTTCTATGCAATCAAATCTGAATACTAAATAGCATTGAAAATTTTCCTTAAATAAATTTGAGTATCATCTGGCAAACACGGAAGCTCTGGAATGAATTTAATCAAATCGATTACACATGTTCCACAGCTCCACTGCTGTTTGATGGTTTCAAAACAAGCAACATAGCGAAACATAGCGAAACTAAAAATTGTATTCATCTCTCCAGGATGTTTAGAGTAACATATCTATACTTTCCTTACATTTAGAGGAGTTTGAGGCTATTGATTAATTATGGGCATTCAACAAATCTTCAACGTTAGTTATTTTAATGAGCGAGTTTAACCATTGGCGTCATCCAAGTTTGTTTTGAATGTTTTCTTAAGACGTCTTCATGTCAAACCAGAAAAAAAACACTTGTATTGATGTAATGACTGGTCAAAATAAGGTGTTATATAGGAAGTGGTCGGGCTGTCCCATACAAATCATTTTCATTAGTCTTCTTCAATTTACTAGATTTCTTCAAAATATGTTAAAAATTGCGGCCTATACGTTGAACATAAGAAAATAAAAAGACAGACGGACAGACAAACTTAAATCGATCCAAAAAATGATTCTGTTTTAATCATTCGATATAATAAGCGATGGGTCTATCCCAATGATGACTGACTCCACTGACTCGACTGACTCAACTGACTGAACTAACTCAACTGACTCAACTGACTCAATTGATTCAATTGACTCAACTGACTCAACTGACTGAGCTGACTCAACTGACACAACTGACTGACTGATTCAACTGACTGAGCTG